TTACAATAAGGTGCTATTAGTTAATGCATTAACTCACATTAACAAACAACGAGCAATACATTTATTAGTAATTATTAATTACAACTGTTCATTGTTAGTTCATGTCAGCTCAGGTTCAATAAAGTATATTAACAGATGCAACATTTGATTTTAATCATGTACATTTACATTTATGCATTAGACGCTTTTATCCAAATCCTGAAAATGATATGTTACTTTTGCATCATTGAAAGTATTCAACAAAAATGATGTACTTTGAAACAGACCACTGAATGATTGCATTATTCATATATCATGGTATGTACATGGTACTCCACAATACATGTTTAAAAAAAATCATGGTCATTTCATAGTAAGTGAAAGAATATTGTATGCCTTTTATGTGTTAACTAAAATAAACCATACACACTAGGAACAGCTAAAAATACAGCAGAAGACCTCCTGGGAATCTGTTCAATAGGGTATTGTTCTCTTTGCCTTTCTTGAGATGAAAGTGAAGTATCTCTCCAGAGTCTTTCTGCAGTCTGTCTGGGAAAAGCTCCTAAGTGCTGGTAAAACTCCTTTTCACTAACAGAAAACAACATTTACAACAGTACAGAAACTGTAACACAGAAAAAGCTAAGAAGCACAACAGATGAGTTTGAAAAAAAAACTATCCTTTTGTAGTGTTAACAAAAATCTCTTAGGTCAGACTCACTGTGAGCTCTGATGTAAATCTGCGCTTTGGAAACAGCAAATGCTGAAAAAGAGTGCAGTAATAATACATAATTCTTAATTTTCTTAATTAAGGGTGGGTATAAAAACCAGCCAGGTATCAGCAATCCTGGTTAAATAATTAATTACAATTATTTATAGAACGAGGGCATTGCTAGGTTTTCTGATTAACTAAATAAATAATTACCCTAAATAATGCGGGGCGATCCCTTAACTACGGTGGTCAAGAAGTGCAAAACAAATCACAATTCTGAAAACAAAAATAACAAATTACAAATGCAAATGCAAGTCTAAAAAGCAAAATAACTATTCAGAAAACACAACAACAATTCAGAAAGCATTATAACAAGTCAGAAAACACAACGACAAATTCGAAAACAAATTTACAAGTCAGAAAACACAACGACAAATCAGACAAACCGGAAGAGGTAGGTATAGTTTGAGACAGCGCCATTGGTTTGGGATTACTCACCGCTGACTGGACGAGACATCTGTCAATCAACGTATACAGAGAAGAACCAGCCGAAGAACAGCAGAGTCGTGGTAGAAAGTTCGGAGATGGTATTAAAGTAGCTCAGTTTAAATGTATTGTATGAATTGCCCTTACTATGGAATTAAAAATACGGGGTGTCTATTTACATTTAGTTAAAAGTGGCTATAAATCATCAGCTTTAGTGGCGCAGATAGATAAGTGTGTGTCCTTGGCTTTTTGACGCGATCGACCCGGGTTTAAACTTTTTTTTCTTCCCTTTTCAAATCTCGTATTAGCAATGGATTCTATTTACACTAAGTGCAAATACCTATTTACACTATGTTAAAATATCAGGATTTATATTATCAAGTATACTTTTTGTTGCAAATAGTGGCAATTATCTGCACTTCAGTATTGTAGTACATTATAAAACAGTGTGCAATAATAACGTATTGAGTGTAAATTATTATTTTAATTTTAATTATTAAATGAATGCCACCTTATTGGTACAATAAAGCCCTCCCTACACCTACCCTAACCCTACCCGATACTTTATTTTCAACTTTTTGATTATTTCCTTAATTTTTATTGAAAATAAATGCCTTTACGATGTGATATGACATTTGAAAAGGGAGGGAAAAAAAGTTCGGCAAAATCGAACCCGGGTCGATCGCGTCAAAAAGCCACCGACACACGCTTAACCATCTGCGCCACTGGAGCTGATGAGTCACATCCACTTTTAACTAAATGTAAATAGACACCCCGTATTTTTTATTCCATAGCAAGGGCAATTCATACAATACATTTAAACTGAGCTACTTTAATACCATCTCCGAACTTTCTACCAGGACTCTGCTGTTCTTCGGCTGGTTCTTCCCTGTATATGTTGATTGACAGATGTCTCGTCCAGTCAGCGGTGAGTAATCCCAAACCAATGGCGCGGTCTCAAACTATACCTACCTCTTCCGGTTTGTCTGATTTGGCGTTGTGTTTTCTGACTTCTTAATTTGTTTTCGAATTTGTCATTGTGTTTTCTGACTTGTTATAATGCTTTCTGAATTGTTGTTGTGCTTTCTGAATTGTTATTTTGTTTTTTAGACTTGCATTTGCGTTTGTAATTTGTTATTTTGTTTTCAGAATTGTGATTTGTTTAGCACTTCTCTGCCACCGTACTTAACACTTTTTGTGCTGTTTACAATGTCGCTAACAAAAGTCTGAACACCTATTTCATTGTTTTCTATTGTAGGGACATTTTATAAATCACTTAAAGAACCTTTAAACACACAGTCTCGTATTTATTTGTAGGACACTTGTCTCCGAGCTGGTCGAATCGTTCTTTTGCACACTGAATTTGCTCACTTACTAATGTCGCTCCCTTGAAGCACGTGACTGAATTCGTGCCTTCTAATACTAACTATAGTACGAGCCAATAGCCATGGAGAAGGCTGTGATGAGGGGCATTTTATTGGCTGGACTACTGAACCGATACGCCCATTTTATTGAACGAATTGGTGTTTTGAGGTTTTGAGCCTGAAGTGAACATCCCGCTCGTGAATCAACTGAACATTAATTAAATCTGTGATTATTTAAGCTATCGTTTTTGTGCTTTTACACAACGCCTTAATACAAAAATGATGTCCAGTATTTTAGGAAATTGTTGGAAAAAATCTAGATTTGTTTGTTGTCATTTGTGGGGAAACGAGTGAACGAGTTTTAAAAGTCGTTTGAGTGAAGAATCATTTGTCGCCACCTTTTTGTGTAAAACGATGCACCCTGCAGATATGACCAGCACTGAACAATGGACAGGGTCCATAGCAATGTATTAAATAATTCTTTTAACGTTTTTTTTTTTGTTTGTAGAAAATGGATGAGAGAATACTGGCAAATATATACAGGGAGGGACTGAGATGAAAGACAGCATTTTGAATCGTAGCCTATATAGTTCAAGTAACGTGCTTTAATAGTACAGTCTTTGAAATGTGTGCTTTCTTTTCTCAGTGAAGCTTTGCATTATTCACAGTTTTTTTGCCTTTTAATTCGTATGGCAAAATAAGAATGGAGACTGGTGATTTATATCAGTGCAGCTTGCCTGTACTACTGCATTTGTTGTATACTATCTGGATGGGGTTGGCAGTCATGTGATCCAGATATGACATTTGAAAAGGGAGGGAAAAAAAGTTCGGCAAAATCGAACCCGGGTCGATCGCGTCAAAAAGCCACCGACACACGCTTAACCATCTGCGCCACTGGAGCTGATGAGTCACATCCACTTTTAACTAAATGTAAATAGACACCCCGTATTTTTTATTCCATAGCAAGGGCAATTCATACAATACATTTAAACTGAGCTACTTTAATACCATCTCCGAACTTTCTACCAGGACTCTGCTGTTCTTCGGCTGGTTCTTCCCTGTATATGTTGATTGACAGATGTCTCGTCCAGTCAGCGGTGAGTAATCCCAAACCAATGGCGCGGTCTCAAACTATACCTACCTCTTCCGGTTTGTCTGATTTGGCGTTGTGTTTTCTGACTTCTTAATTTGTTTTCGAATTTGTCATTGTGTTTTCTGACTTGTTATAATGCTTTCTGAATTGTTGTTGTGCTTTCTGAATTGTTATTTTGTTTTTTAGACTTGCATTTGCGTTTGTAATTTGTTATTTTGTTTTCAGAATTGTGATTTGTTTAGCACTTCTCTGCCACCGTACTTAACACTTTTTGTGCTGTTTACAATGTCGCTAACAAAAGTCTGAACACCTATTTCATTGTTTTCTATTGTAGGGACATTTTATAAATCACTTAAAGAACCTTTAAACACACAGTCTCGTATTTATTTGTAGGACACTTGTCTCCGAGCTGGTCGAATCGTTCTTTTGCACACTGAATTTGCTCACTTACTAATGTCGCTCCCTTGAAGCACGTGACTGAATTCGTGCCTTCTAATACTAACTATAGTACGAGCCAATAGCCATGGAGAAGGCTGTGATGAGGGGCATTTTATTGGCTGGACTACTGAACCGATACGCCCATTTTATTGAACGAATTGGTGTTTTGAGGTTTTGAGCCTGAAGTGAACATCCCGCTCGTGAATCAACTGAACATTAATTAAATCTGTGATTATTTAAGCTATCGTTTTTGTGCTTTTACACAACGCCTTAATACAAAAATGATGTCCAGTATTTTAGGAAATTGTTGGAAAAAATCTAGATTTGTTTGTTGTCATTTGTGGGGAAACGAGTGAACGAGTTTTAAAAGTCGTTTGAGTGAAGAATCATTTGTCGCCACCTTTTTGTGTAAAACGATGCACCCTGCAGATATGACCAGCACTGAACAATGGACAGGGTCGATAGCAATGTATTAAATAATTCTTTTAACGTTTTTTTTTTTGTTTGTAGAAAATGGATGAGAGAATACTGGCAAATATATACAGGGAGGGACTGAGATGAAAGACAGCATTTTGAATCGTAGCCTATATAGTTCAAGTAACGTGCTTTAATAGTACAGTCTTTGAAATGTGTGCTTTCTTTTCTCAGTGAAGCTTTGCATTATTCACAGTTTTTTTGCCTTTTAATTCGTATGGCAAAATAAGAATGGAGACTGGTGATTTATATCAGTGCAGCTTGCCTGTACTACTGCATTTGTTGTATACTATCTGGATGGGGTTGGCAGTCATGTGATCCACAGCACCGTTCCGTCAGAGCGCGGGTTGCCTTCACACGCCGAAAAATCCCTCATTCTGGGTTTATTTTGCGCCAATGCATAGCATCCCACTGCATGACTTTAACGCTCTGTGGAGTAAAATCTCCCATGAGCATCTGGCAACCATTTAGACGCATTGAGAGCGAGTTGATAGAGGTGAGTTTGCTGATAGAAACGAATGCAGAATTTTTATTTTATTACTCGAAATAATTATTTTCTTGTTGGCTCACATTGTTCTCAATTGATTTCTTTGGAATGTCACAGGAATAGTCAATGTTGTATACTGGACGGTTGTGTAATTATATCACGAGTGTAGGTGGCAACCATTGATGGATTTATTGTAAACTGCATCCAGCTTAATTTCCTTAATTACCTGCCACTATTCTTACATAAGCATATGTGTGAAACTAAGCTTGTTATGATTCGGTAGCCCTATAAGGTTATTTTTTAATGTTTTATTGTATTGTAGTTTAACAGTGAGATTATGTTTTAAACGAAATTTCATATATATTTTTAAGCCTAAGAGAAACGCGTGGAAAACGTAATATTTCTATTGGAAATGAGAATAAATGCAGTCATGAAGTCTTAGGCTGTGTGTCATTAAAATTCAGCCATCATCACATCCCTGTTGCCATGACTCCTGCGAGCTGCCTCATCCTTAGTTGTGCAGATTTTTAAAAAAAAAAAAAAACAATTTTTGTAAAAAAAGATGCTTCGACGCATAATTTCTGTTGCGTTATTCTGAGTATAAAGCACGAATTGTAGGGGCTTTAAACGTCCTGTGACGTAATGGGGGACCAATGTCAACTCAAGTGTATGTGCAGACAGAGAAATGAAATGTCTTTAAATGATTCTGCATGCAGAGCTTGTCTCATCATCATACGTGACTTGTTCTTGTTTTTCAATCTGCAAATTATACATATGGCTTTTTCTCATATAAATATATACATTTGTGTGTGTGTGTGTGTGTTTCTCTTTGCATAGAAAACCTGGACTACCAAAGACTGAAAGCTGGTTTTGTATAACGAGTATAAACTGCACTAGGCCTGGACTTTTGATTTAGATGTAATTCACATAATTTTGTTGAACAGAAATAGAACAGACTGCATTGCTCAGGATGTGCAATAGTCTCAGACTATAATGGCCTGATATTACTCACACTTTTTCTTAAGACACATCTGCAGTTAAGAAATTATCTGGTTGTACTGCAATTTATTTGAATAAGCAAGTAAAATGGAGCACTCCTTCAAAGACGGAATTCGGACCAATAATGTCCAGGGACTGTGAAGAGGTGAGTATTTTCAGAAACTACATTTTGCAATCAGTTTTCTGGTGCATCGAAAGCAATATATGTTTGTTTGATACAAACAGAAATTTGACAAATAATGTCATATGTTAGATTTTGCAAGTGGCATTCCATCTACATTCCTTCTAAAACTACTAATAACTTTTATACTTATTAGGCATGCTTTTGCAGTTTTTATGGTATTAGATGTGACCCTACATGGAATGTGATTTGTCCCACCACAGGCTTATATAAAGGTAAAGTCTGTGATTTGATTTCTGTGCCACTAGCAACACAAAATTGAATTGCAAAAATAATGAAAATAATTTTCAAACTGGCTGTTAATTATCAAATCCAACTATTAATGGCTTACATTTCTCTTTGCATGTTAAATTTGTATAGGAGATGGTATTTTAACATTTTAAAATCATCTTGATTTACAATGGTGAAAGAAATGGTTACCAGTTACGGCATTTAAAATATACACTTTCCCATACATTTTAACCTAAAATTTTGATTCTGAAGACAAAAATGTCCATGCAATTTTTTTATATTTTACTGTTACTTTTATTTTATTTATTAATTTATCATTGTCTAAATTATTTTTATGTAAATCACTTTACATTACCACTACCAGTGTGTTTTAGCTATAGACTAAAAAGGCCAAAAAAAAGCACAAGTTGGTTTCAAAAGGTACATCTTTATACCCCTATCTTTATTTACCCAAAAAGGATCCATATCAGTGCCTTAAAGGTACACAGTAGTACCTAAATGGTACATATTAGTACTATTAGTACCTTTTGAAAAGGTACTGCCTCAGTGACAACTTTTGTACTTTTTTTTCTGAGTGTGTATAAATAAACTTGAACCCATTTATCGAATGAATATGCACATATTCTAATATAAGTTAGTATTAATTACCATTAAAAATGACTGATTTTAAATATTTCAGCATGAACTCCCTCTCATCTCCCTCTACACCTGTAGCCTGGTCAGTCTGTAGGGATGTTGGCTGCGGTGGAGCATGGTCCGGTCCTCTGCAGTGACTCCAACATCCTCTGCCTCTCATGGAAAGGGAGAGTTCCCAAAAGTGAGAAGGAGAAGCCGGTGTGCAGGAGGCGCTACTATGAGGAGGGCTGGCTGGCCACTGGGAACGCCAGGGGTGTTGTGGGTGTGACGTTCACATCTAGTCACTGTCGAAGGGACAGAAATACCCCACAAAGAATCAACTTCAATTTACGGGGTCATAACAGTGAGGTGGGAGTTTGCCTCTTCTCTTATGGTTTAAATAGTTGAATTGCAAGTTGCATTAAGTAATGTTTTCCACTTTACACCTAAGGAAATTAATAGTACACTGTAAAAAATGTACGGTAAAAAAAGAAAAAAAAGAAGCTGTGGTTGCCAGAAATTTAGCATAAAAACATGGTAGCATAATTTTAGGTTTTAGAGATTGAACTTCAATTTACAGTTAAAAATATATATTTCATTAACTGAAATAATGTTAATATACCAACCTACTAAAATCAGACTTTTTACCTTTATAATTAGAATTAGTAAATTATAAATTAAAAACTGGCGGTAATGAGAAAGCCACATTATGAGTCAAAGTTATCTTTTCCACAAGCTGAGGTACACTCTTAAAAATAAAGGTGCTTCAAAAGGTTCTTCAAGCGATGCCATAAAAGAACCATTTTCGGTTCCACAAAGAAGCATTCAGTCAAAGGTTCTTTAAAGAACCATCTCTTTCTTACCTTTTTATAATCTGAAGAACCTTCTTTTTCCACAAAAGGTTCTTTGTGGCGAAAGAAGGTTCTCCATTTAGACAAAAAGGTTCTTCTATGGCATCGTGAAGCACCTTTATTTTTAAGAGTGTATATACTAATATATAACTATTTATATACTAATATATAAATATATATATATAAATAACTAATAGGTTTACAGTGCTATACACATAAATACAAAACACTTAAACATTAAAATAATGCAATAAACATTAATTTAACAATGTAAGATATAGGATAAAACCCTAATTTACATAACTGATAAGAAAAAACTAAGAAGGAAACTGTTGTTTTAATAAAAGAAATATCAGACGTGAGCACAGAAGAATTGTCTGTGTCACACAGAGATTTCTGGGAATGTCAGTTTATTGTTTATCACTGTAAAATATAAGGTGACTTCCAAAAACAGTATATTTTACTGTATAATTAAATGAAATGTCCCATTAGAACTATTACAGCTTTTCACCATATAGTAAGGGAATTTACCGTCGTATTTTTAGTCTTTACCATCAAAATTCTGACAATTAAATTTTTTTTCTTCAGAAAGAATTACTTAATTACATACAGTACATCAAAAGAATGTGTATTTGTCAATTTGCCATCCTATGCATGAATAGTGTGCTCTTGCAAAATTCTGCTAGAACTTCATTCCCACGGTGCTGTTCTTGTACAGGTTGTCCTTGTTAGGTGGAATGAACCGTTTCAGAAGCTTGCAACATGTGACATGGAGGGAGGGATATTTGTGTGGATCCAATATGAAGGAAGATGGTCTGTAGAGCTGGTGAATGACAGAGGTGCCCAGGTATGTTAGTATTTCATGCTTATTTTTCATCTGTGCTGAATGTCACTGTATTTTCATTACATGTTAAGTTTGATAAACTTACTAATATCTTTTGATTGATGCATTATCTTACACACACAAAAAGGCCATTAACCGTGTAAAGCCTGAAATATGAAATAATAGTCAGAAAATTCTAATTTAAAAAAATGGAACAGTTTATTGAACTTTTAAACAAAATATTGAAAAAATCTTTAAAGGGGTGGTTCACTGGTCTTTTTCTAGACTTGATTGTGTTTATGGGGTGCAGTCTAACATGTGTCAGTGCTTCGTTAAAAAAAAACACATTTTTTTTTCACATAATTTACCTTTATTCCACACCGCTCTGTCCCTTCTCTGAGAAACGGGCTGATCTTTTCCTGTTTTTATGAAGTCCCGCCCTCAGAAATAGGCGATGGGATCTGATTGGTTAGCTAGCCCAGTGTTGTGATTGGCTAAACCGCCTCTAGTGCGTGTCTAAACGTAAACTGAATTTAAAAAGTGCATTTGTCACAATTTAGCTTTATTCCACACCGCTCTGTCCCTTCTCTGAGAAACGGGCTGATCATTTCCTCCTTTTATGAAGCCCCTCACTCAGAAATAGGCGATGAGCTATGATTGGTTAGCTAGCCCAGTGTTGTGATTGGCTAAACCGCCTCTAGTGCATGTCTAAACGTAAACTGAATGAGAGAGAGAGAGAGAGAGAATGAGAGAGAGAGAGAGCGAGAGAGAGAGATGCAGAGCGTGTGCAGAGCAGGGGGACGTGAGGAACAGGACTGAACCGTAAAGCCATGTTGGCCAATCAGAAGCCTGAAAAAGTCTCTAGTAGGCGGAGATAACAGCGCAGGCACTGACGTCACAAGCCAAAAACTCCGGTTTCGCTGTCTACACGATAACACTGCAACCGGAGTTTTTGAATATCTTCACCCTGGCAGGCGTTTTCAAAAATGTTCGGTTTCAGTGAACTGGTGCTGCATTTGCGTGTGGACGAACGGCCAAACCGCGTAGAAAAAACTGTGGTTTTAAAAATAACCGCGTTCGTGTGGACAGGGCCAAAGTTGGACATACTTTTATATCCAAATTTAAATAAAAAGCTAGTAATAGTTACATTTTGCAACTAAATAAAAAGATTTGTTATCTAGTACATACAGCTTAACGTTAGTGAACTAAATAGACCTATAAAGTTTCTTCCATGGTTCTTTGTAGCCATTTTTCAACAAACTTTTTGACATTACATGACATTACATTGTAAGCATCATCCATTAAAGAAAGAAAATAGAAGGTTCAAAAGAACAGTATTTATTTGAAATAGAAATCTTTTGCAACATTATAAATGTCTTAGTATCACTTTTGAATGATTTAATGCATAACTGCTGAATAAAAGTATTAATTTCTTCTATTTACCCCAAACTATGAAATGGTTTCCACAGTTTATTATGGTTTCCATTAAAATACTGAGCAGCAACAGCTGTTTTCAACATTGATAATAATAAGAAATGTTTAATGATATAAACTACAGCGCACATTCAATTATAAATAAACTACATATAATCTAAATATCTTTTGGTTTAGAGGCCCATCACCACGATTTGCTGGGGTCACCGGGACTCACGGCTTTTTCTGGCCTGTGGACCAGCCCTGTACGTAGTGCGTGTAGAGCATCGTGTGGCCAGCCTGCAGCTTCTATGTCAGCAAGGCATTGCCAGTGCTCTTAAAGAGGAGAGAGATGTGGGAAAACTGAACATGCCTTCACTCCTCTGTTCCTATGTTACCACTGCTTTCATTCCAACTATCAAGGTACAAAAGAAGCAAGTGCAGTTTTTGATGTATGCTAATGTGAACTAAATGCATATTCTTTTTCATCTCACCAGCCACCCATCCCAGATCCGAATAACATCCGAGACTTTGTGAGCTATCCGACAGCAGGGAATGAACGCCTGCACTGCACTATGAAACGTTCAGAGGAGAATCCAGAAGCAGGAGGCCCCTGTTATACCCTCTATCTGGAACACCTGGGGGGTTTGGTGCCTATTCTCAAGGGTCGTCGCATCAGCAAGTTGCGACCGGAGTTTGTCATTATGGACCCAAAAATGGATGTTAAAGCAGGTACTGCTATATGCACTGTTGCTTATCATGTGTACGTTAAGCTCAAGCTTAATGTGTAAATGCATTGTCTTTTTTGCCTTGAAGACTGGTCTTTAATTTGATCTAATCTTGTCTTTCAGATGAGGTCTGTGTAAATGGCATGATCTCCTACATGACTGACAGCTGCAACTGTTCAGACTCAAGCGATATTGAGTTGAGCGATGAGTGGGTTGGGCGAAAATCGCCCAAACTTTCTAGAGGAAACAGGTCTCCTAAGCTTCCTAGGTACTCTAAACATATGAGGTACTGTTGAATATAAAATTCACACAATATTAGGGTACCAGAAACTTAAGTTAATGTTAACTTAACTTAAACTAAAGAAATGTTTGTTCCATCACAACCTTGACAAAATACAATACAGTAAATTTCAGAAAAACATCAAATTACAAATCAACAACTTTTAACTTGATAGCAAATAAAAGAATGTTCCATTTAACTGTCTTTTGTTTCATATTTGTTTTGTTCTCTAGAATTAATATGGAATCAAGAAAGTCTCCCAAACTTGCCCAAACATCTCAAGAAATGTCTAGGTCTCCTAGACTACCAAAGAAGCCTCCAGTTCGGTCTCCGAGTCTTACTCGAAGAGAATTTCTAGTTGATGGCTTTAGTGAGGTACTTAACATTTTATTTGCAAGCTTATTTCGGCAATAATTTTATATTAATCTTGCCTAGAATTGATAGGGTAAGTGTTTGTATTTATTGCCTCTGTCTACTCGATACTGAGTAAAGCATTTGTCACATTTACTGCAGCATGAACTAGCAGACACCTCATTTTCTTTAATCTCCTGCTTTACTGAAGAGAAATGACAGTAAACCGACTCTGACCTTGATTATTTTCTATAGCTATCACTTAATTTGCTTTGCAGCATAATTACTTGGCCCAGGTCACCTCTAACATTTGGGGAACAAAGTTTAAGATTGTAGGCCTTGCCTCATTTTTGCCAGCTAACTTAGGAGCAGGTATGTTGTCAGGTTTTGTATTCAAGTGAACAGTTTCACATAGTTATTTTAAATAATAATTGTAATGTTTTAAAAATATTTTTTGACAAATGTTGCATGGTGTTCCAGTTATTTATAAAACTAGTTTGCTGCACCTACAACCTCGTCAGATGACCATCTATTTGCCTGAGGTGCGTAAAATTTCCCTGGATTTCATGAGTCTGCCAGTCTTCAATCCCAATGTGTTCAGTGAAGATGAAGATGATTTACCTGGTAAGAATCAGTAGAATATTTTTGTATTTTTTTTTCTTTGTATAGCTTAACTACAACAAGTAAAATCAATCTCAAAATGTCCTTGCTTATTTCTAGTTATGGGACCCTCGGGAGTGTCAGCCGACAATCCTCCTTGCACAGTTAATATCCCCATTGCCCCAATTCACAGCCCTGCTCAAGCCATGTCCCCTACACAGAGTATAGGTCTAGTCCAGTCTCTCCTAGCCAACCAGAATATTCAGCTTGATGTCCTTACCAATCCCACCGCCACCGCCACTGCAGCAGCTGCAGCTGCAGCCGCAGCAGCAACAGCAGCAGCAGCTAATGCAACAGTATCTGAGCATAGTCAGGACACTGTGACAGCACAGTACACTGTGCCAACCAGATATTCCAACCCTGGACAGGTGATTTTCAGTGGACTGGAAATGAGTAACATCCTAAGTGGAACTCTTCCTCCTCCTCCACATCATCTGCCACAACAACCCCACCAACAACGTCAGCAACAACAGCAGCAACAAGACCACCAACAATCAAAACATCAACAGCAATTACAACCACAGCAGCAGCATCTGAAATTGCAACATCAGTCACAGCAACTGCATCAACAGTCGCTGCAGCAGCAACACATGCAACATCAGCAGCAACTGCAAACACAGCAGCATCAGCAGCAACTGCAAACACAGCAGCATCAACAGCAACTGCAACAGCAGCATCAACAGCAACTGCAACAGCAGCATCAACAACTACAACAGCAGCATCAACAACAACTGCAACAGCAGCATCAACAACAACTGCAACAGCAGCATCAACAACTACAACAGCAGCATCAACAGCAGTTGCAACAACATCAACAGGCAATGCATCAGCAGCAACTGCAACAGCAGCAACTGCAACAGCAGCAGCAACAGATTCAACAGCAAGTGCAGCAGCATCAACAACAAATTCATCAACAGCATCAACAACAATTCCAACAGCAGCAGCACCAGTTGCAGATTCAGCATGAGCAAATGCAGCAGCAGCAGCAACAAATGCAACAACAGCAGCAACAAATTCGACAGCAAATACAGGAAATGAGGCAGCAGCAGCAACAACTTCAACAGCAGCATCAACAAATACAGCTGCAACATCAACAAATGCAAAGACAGCATCAACAAATGCAGCATCAGCTTAAAATGCAAATGTCCCTCCAACATCCACCTTCAGGGTATGCTACTCTAACCCTGCATCAATTACAGCTGATGCCTCAAATTCCTCATCCAGACCAGCCACCAGACAGAGGAGAACAAGTCCTCCCTCTTAAGATTCCCTCACGACCACAGTCTTTCATTGAAACTGACACCCTTGAGGTACAGATGCGTAAAGTAAACCCTCCACCACCTTACCCAGGTACAGTGGTATCTGCAGCAGCTGCCGCACCAACTACAGCCCCTCCTGGTCTTCTTGTTAGCAATGAGAATGGCACTACACTGTCAACAGATCTATGTTTAACTAAGGACGAATTCTCTCTTCACCCAATTAGCCTTCAATACCCAACTCCACTAGGCTATGAAAGAATCACTACTTTTGACAGTAGCGGAAATGTCGAAGAGGTATGTCGCCCAAGGAGACGCCATTTAAGGAACCAAAATGCCTACGGGATGCAAGGAATGGGCAGCTCCGCCACATTGAAAGTAACTTCATCTGAGAACAAGAAGATCCAGTTGCCATACAGCTCAGCAACTCTTAGTCGTCTCTCAGTGCCTAGATATTCCATACCAAGCGGAGACCCACCACCTTATCCTGACACATCTAACCAAATGAACACAATCAGAAGTTCTACACAAAGGATTGACAGCAACTTGATTCATGCCACTTTGCGTCGAGATCGCAGGGAACAGACCCTGAAGGTTTCTCAAATGGTGGAAACAGTGAGGACTCTACCGACTAAATCCAAAATGAACGGTTCCCTCACGCTCTCCTATCAGCCAAGGATACCCACAGCTTTGTATACATGCACTCAGTGTAGCAGTAACAGCAGCAGCACTAGTGTAAGTGTCACAGGTGGTGGCACAAACAGCAGCGGAATTGCTGGAGGAACTGTGGTGAGGCAAGACTTCCCACCTGGTAAAGGGGTCCAACACAGCACGATAATTGTGCACTCCAAAAGTGCCTCGCCATTAGCCTCCCAGTCCTCCTATAACCTCCTGAGTCCCATTGACAACAGTAGAGAGAGAACTGTCTATGTCAACTCTGCCTTTACAGAAGATGAGACACTAAGTCAGCAGTATCATCTTGAAAAATCAGTACGGCATTTAACGCTTGGGGATGTCAATTTTACAGTCAAACGGCCTCCACCTTACCAATGGGACTCACCTGCAGCAGAACAACTCTGGATACCTCAAGAGCAAAATTTATTGCCTGGACCTCCAGGACCACCTCATAAGCCACCCCCATTTTTACTTAGCCAGCCACAGCATTTAGACATGACCCGACTACCTTTTGTCCTTTCAACAAAGCCTCCCCCCAGTCCCAATTCTATGACCCTCCCTTCAGCCTATCAGTTATCCCTTTCACCCTTCCCATCAGTTGTAGGGCATGGTGGACCTCAACTACAGCCTTTGCAGAGTCCTGCACAATCATGTGGCCCCAATGACATGGTAACATCTAGCCCTTTTAGCCAACCAGACCCAGCTTTAGTCTTACCCCCAGGCTATCCCACAAATTTGACCAATCTAGGTTGTTGCACTCTGCCTCCCATGTACCCAGGGACTAGCTCCTGCAGCAACCTTCAGCTCCATCCAATGAGCTTGCATCCTTGGAGCACATATAGCACTTGTCCTCCCATGCCAGACCATTCTGCCACGCTGCCCAGTAAGACCCTTCAGGCCCTGGAGAAGCCAGTTCTCTCTCCTCCTCCACCACCACCTCCACCTCCCCCACCACCTCCTCCTCCACCTCCTCTCCCTCCTCCTCCTCCACCCATTGAGCTCTTGAACCATCAGAGTACTTCTGAGGTGGTCGCAGAATCTGGAGAGAGCTTTCAGGATCAGTCCTCTCTCAATGAGAGTCCACAAGGAGCAGAGAGGTTCAGCAAGAAGGGACGTAAGAGGCTTGACAGTAGGGCAGAAGAGGCAAATATGTCTGGAGTCTCTGAAGGGAAATCCAAAAAAGAGAGTCGCACACTCTCTGACTTTAATTCCCTAATCTCCAGCCCAAGACTTGGCAGCAGGGAAAAGAAGAAACCTAAAGGGCAGAAAGAGCCGTTGAACAAAGCCAAGAAACTGAGTAGGACCTCCAATGAGTTCCAGGACAGCTCTGAGAGTGAGCCTGAGCTCTTCATCAGTGGTGACGAGTTGATGAACCAAAGCCAGAGCAGCAAGAAAGGATGGAAGAGCAAACGCAATCTTCGTACAGCAAACGAACTTGAGGAAATCAAGTGCCGTAAAGCTAACGAGAGAGAGGATCGTAGTCTTGGCAGCCAAGGCTTTGTCTATGTTATGGCCAACAAGCAGCCATTGTGGAACGAAGCCACCCAGGTTTACCAGCTTGACTTTGGAGGACGGGTGACACAGGAGTCAGCCAAAAACTTTCAGATTGAGCTTGATGGACGCCAGGTACGTGATTTTATTTAATTGAGAAACCAGTTTGAAAACAATATTTTTGCAGTTCCATTTTGTGACACTTGGGGCAAAGAAATTACACCTTTAACAAATATGCGCGTGCACATAATTAGTAGCTTGGAGCAGTGGTTCTTAATCCTGGTGCTGTGGACCCCCTGCTCTGCACATTTTGCATGTCTCCCTTATTTAACACATCTGATTCAGATCATCAGCTTGTTAGGAGAGAGCTCTATGAACTGAACTGTTTTGTGTCAAATTAGGGAGACATACAAAATTAAGAATCACTGGCTTTGAGTAATAAGCATCTACCCTGCACCTAACCCATAATTCTCTATTACAGGTAATGCAGTTTGGCAGAATCGATGGCAATGCATATATCCTGGATTTTCAGTATCCATTCTCAGCAGTACAGGCATTTGCTGTGGCCTTGGCCAATGTAACTCAGAGACTTAAATAGAAAACCTCTCCAGCAATCTTGTCCTTGAGTACAGATGGACTGAAAAAGAGTTTATTGTTAATTGCAGATTGTGAGAAAAATTACATTCTCTGCTGCCATAACGTCTGTGCAATGTCGGTTAGTAGCCAAGAGATCTGGTCACTCTCAGGCAAGGCGTACACAAGACGTAGACAGGTGGTCCAACTATAGATTTAGTGTTAACAGTACCTTTTAGTACCTTTTTGTTAACAGAGGTTCAAGCCGATTTAAGGTTCCACCTGAAAGGTGGTACACATCTGAAGAAGAGTTAATATTTGTGTATTGATGGAAAATAATTTGATTTAATTCACTTTTATTGATTTTTTCCATGTATTTCATTAGTATATAATGGTGTGATTTAAATATATAGATAATTACTAAAATCTGTGATAGATGTTAGACTGTGGGCTTTGTTTCTTTTTTCCCTTGATTTCCCCATCTCCTTTTGTGTTTGTACCTGAGATTTATGTGCCAAATTTAGATTTCCTATGTAAAAACATTGTGAAGTGACAGATTTTGACAATTGTTTGTGGTCAGCAACCAATGAAAATCTAGGGAGGAGAAAACTTATGTTTGAATGTTCTCATCCCACGACTCACTTCCATGAAGTGAAACAGAGGTAATATATTCAAGTTATTATCATATTTTCCCAATTGTGCCACTATAATGAATGCATTTTTAAGGTTTAAAAATTCATTTAAACTTTAAATTGAACTTTTTCTTCACAAAATGTCTTATGTTATATTGCATCATTTGCACACTGTTATTGCAGTATCTCAGTAATGTCCTTTTTGAATGAATATTTGCTTTTTAATGTTAACAGTAACAGAAATCAAAGTTTGAACATTTTTAATTACTTTCAAATATATATTATATTGTCATTGTCATGGAAGTGACATGACAGAAAAGTGCTGTAGTTAGATGTATTCATATTGTCCATGACACTTTAGCACGAACTATATAGTATGCATTAATTTAGCCAAAAAAGGTCTTATATCACTATATGAATCAAACTTAACACACTGTATATTATGCAATGAATGGAATATAAATGAAATCGAAAGTTGATATGTAGGAGTTTTTCTCATTCCTAAGTTTAAATAGTCAACCCAAATTTGATTTATGTAAAGGGACATCTTTTATTATATTTAATAATTGGTTTCAAATATTTATGTATTAATATTTAATATTCTGCATTAATATTTAACAGTTCTTATGGCAATTTGCTTAGTTTCTGATGTTTTCCAGTAATTTCATCAGTTTTTATCACATTTTTGTTGGAAGCCAAACAGTGGTTCAGAGTGGGGTAGTGTTGATATGGTTGATGTTTTAAGCACTTCTTGATTATTCTTGATGTTGTATGCTTTGATGATTTGCAGTTGCAGTTATTTCTAGCCACTTTGTACTGGGATATTCAGGCCCAGATTAAAATATGTGGAATGTGAGGCTTTAACTGTGCTTTATTGCTTAATTATTCTAATGTACATTTACAAAATGTAATTGAAGGGTGTCAAGGAAAAGCATTAGAATGTGTGTGCAGAGTAGGCTTAAAGTCACTAAATAAAATCAAACTAGATTGATGACATTTGTGTCGATTATTGTCATTATGAAGGTATTCACATTGATGGATTGTTTTTGGACGTATAGTATTTAATTCACACCTGCCTCAGCTTTGATTAGCTACCAACCAATTCAAAGATTACTGGGTGGTTTTTTTTCTCCTTTAGTGTCTTGGGATCACCACAATTGTTTTTGGACGTATAGTATTTAATTCACACCTGCCTCAGCTTTGATTAGCTACCAACCAATTCAAAGATTACTGGGTGTTTTTTTTTTCTCCTTTAGTGTCTTGGGATCACCACCTATAAAAGCAAAGTCAACAACAGATTTGAAAAGCAGTGCAACTATTTGGTTACTGCACTGACCTCGAGATGGCGCACGTATGTTAGCATTGTGCTTCTGTAGTCTATGTTGGAATCTTGAGTTTGATTCATGTTAGCGAATCGGTTCGTTCACACAGTACGAGTCAATGAGCCTGTTAATCAAACCGACTCACAATCTTTTTTTTCTGGATTTAATTTGTAATTCAATTAATTATTTTATGATTAAAATGCTGTTCTCTCAGGCTAATAAAATTGCATTAAATGTTGTGTTTATTGTTCAAACATTGTTCACACTGAAAACTCCTGACTGAACCGTTTTGTAATGTTTCCAATATTAAGAAAATTGTCAATCATTTCCAATATTGTTCTAAGTTTTGTTCATAAACACAGATGAGTGATCCGCGCTGTGCGAATCGGTTCGACCGAACCATTGAAAAGATTCAGTTGAAAAGAATGATTCTTTTGAGAATCGTCGACCGTTCACTGTTTAGTTTCCCAGCTGACGGGCTAAGCGCGCGGTGAAAGATCTCAGAGACTTGACAATGGATCTCGATGAAGATATAGGTACGTATGTACATACATTTAAATGATTGATTGTTGTTGGGTGATCAGCATTTAGAAACGTTTTGAATCCTTAATGAGTTTTGAACTTTTAGCGCGTTTGACAATGACAACAAATTATTCTCGAGCATTCGATTTACAGTGTTTCTTTACTAACCAAGAAATGCATGTGAACGTTGTATAGGTGATTCTTCACCAGCAGAGACTCCAGCCACTAAAATGTCCAGACACCAGATATTAACACTTATTGCAATGGCCTCCATAAACTTCAGTTCCATGATCTGTTACTCCATTCTGGGACCATTTTTTCCAAATGAGGTACATTGATGATATTTCATAGAATCTGACTTGCATCCCTGTTGAAAAAACCAGCATATGCTGGTTAGGTATGTTTTGACGCTGGGATGCTGGTTTAAGCTGGCCCTTTGCTGGTTTAAGCTGGTCCTTTGCTGGTTTATGCTGGTCCTTTGCTGGTTTATGCTGGTCTTTTGCCAGCACATGACCAGCATAAACCAGCATAAGCCAGCAAAGGACCAGCTCAAACCAGCATAGGACCAGCGCAAACCAGCATAGGACCAGCACAGGACCAGCAAAGGACCAGCAAAGGATCAGCAAAGGACCAGCACAGGACCAGCACAAACCAGCAAAGGACCAGCGCAAACCAGCATAGGACCAGCAAAGGACCAGCACAGGATCAGCAAAGGATCAGCAAAGGACCAGCACAGGACCAGCACAGGACCAGCAAAGGATCAGCAAAGGACCAGCACAGGACCAGCACAGGACCAGCAAAGGACCAGCACAGGACCAGCAAAGGACCAGCTCAAACCAGCAAAGGACCAGCGCAAACCAGCATAGGACCAGTGCAAACCAGCAAAGGACCAGCAAAGGACCAGCACAGGACCAGCACAGGACCAGCTCAAACCAGCAAAGGACCAGCGCAAACCAGCATAGGACCAGCGCAAACCAGCAAAAGACCAGCAAAAGACCAGCACAAGATCAGCAAAGGATCAGCAAAGGAC